AGGCGGAGGCAGGGAGACACGGAGGGGCTGGCGGAGGACCGGGGTGCCTGCCACTGCCCCGAGGCCAGGCCCAGGGGTGCAGGGCGCGGGCGGTGGGGAGGAGCGCTCAGGCGTGTCACTCAGCCTTTCAGAAGAAGCTGGAGCCGGCCTACCAGGTGGGCAAGGGCCACAAGATCCGGCTGACGGTGGAGCTGGCCGACCCCGACGCCGAGGTCAAGTGGCTCAAGAACGGACAGGAGATTCAGATGAGCGGCAGGTGGGCGTGGGGCGGGGCCGGGAGAGTCGGCTCCCCACGGCCTCACCTCGGCATGAGTGTCTTTCTTCCTGCATGAGTGTCTCTGTCTGGCTCTTGGTCCCCGTCTCTTTCCCCCTCCATTTCTCTCTCCTTCCCTCCCCCTCCCTCTCCCCCTTTTCCTCTCTCAATCTCTCTCCGCCTGATTTCCCTTTTTCGGGTTTCTGCCTCTCTTCCTCCTTCCCTGTTTATGTACCTTGCATTTAATTCTCAGGGTGATTTACAGGTAGTTAGGATTTCCTCCATTGCACAGGCAAGCACATAGTGACTTGGGGGTGCTGAGGACCTGCTTGAGACTACCTAAACGGAGGAGGTGGGACTGGAATTCCAACTCAAGCCTGAGTTTGAAGTCTGTCTCTTCTTTTCTTTTCTTTTTTTTTTTTTGAGTTGGAGTCTCACGCTGTCACCCAGACTGGAGTGCAGTGGCTCTTCCTGGCCACCGCAGCCTCGACCTGCTGGGCTCTGGCGATCCTTCTGCCTCAGCCTTTCAAGTAGCTGGAACTACAGGCGTGCGCTACCACGCCTGGCTAATTTTTTTTTTTTTTTTTTTATTGTAGAGATGAGGTCTCACTGCCCAGGCAGGTCTCGAACCCGTGGGCTCAGGCAATCCACTCACCTCAGCCTCCCAAAACACTGGGATTACAGGCTGAGCCACCAAACCCGGCCTCTTTTTTTTTTTTTTGAGTTGGAATCTCAGTCTGTCGCCGAGGCTATGGCATGCTCCTGGCCACCCTAGCGTCCACCTGTTGGGCTCAGGCGATCCATCCACCTCAGCCTTCCAAGTAGCCGGAACCACGCCTGGTTAATTTTTTTATTTATTGTAGAGATGAGATCTCGCTAAGTTGTCCAGACTGCTCTCAAACTGGTGGGCTCAGGCAATGCTCTCGCCAGGGCCTCCCAAAGTGCTGGGATTTTAGGCTTGAGCCACCACGCTGCCCTCCCTCTTTCTCTCCCTCTCTCTCCCTCTCTTCCCTCCTCTCCCCCCCATCTCTCTCTCTCTAATTTCCTGTCTTCCAGTTTTTGCCTGACTCTCTTCCCCTCTCCCTTTCTCTCGGTCTTGCTTCTCCTGGAATGCTCCACTGGCCCTTTCTGTTCCACAGCAAGTAAGTCCCCACCGACGACGGCTTGGGGCCGGGGGTGCAGGCGTTTTGATGGGGCACCTGGGCAGGTCGGGAAGTGCGTCCACGCTCTCCCGACCCTCCCCCGCGGCCCCATCCAGGTACATCTTTGAGTCTGTGGGCACGAAGCGCACCCTGACCATCAGCCAGTGCTCGCTGGCCGACGATGCGGCCTACCAGTGCGTGGTGGGCGGTGAGAAGTGCAGCACGGAGCTCTTCGTCAAAGGTGGGCCTGGGTCCCAGGGACGTGGAGATGGGGAGGGGAACCGCGCAAAGGGGCTGATCCTCACACTTGGCCTGCCTGGACAGAGCCCCCGGTGCTGATCACGCGGCCCTTGGAGGACCAGCAGGTGATGGTGGGACAGAGGGTGGAGTTTGAGTGTGAAGTGTCCGAGGAGGGGGCCCAGGTCAGATGGTGAGCACCAGGGGCCCGGGGCCTGGGGCGGGGCTGGGCGTCGGGGGCAGCTGCCCAGAGGCGGCCACAGTACTCACCACGCCTCTGGCCAGGCTGAAGGATGGGGTGGAGCTGACCCGGGAGGAGACCTTCAAGTACCGGTTCAAGAAGGATGGACGGAGACACCACCTGATCGTCAATGAGGCGACCCTGGAGGACGCGGGCCACTACGCGCTGCGCACCAGCGGGGGCCAGGCGCTGGCGGAGCTCATTGTGCAGGGTGAGGCCCGGGTGGGGTGGGCACTCGAGGTTTCAGGGCCTTGGGTGCCTCAGCTCCAGCCCCGCCCAGCCACACGGAGGGATCAGGCAAACCCAGGATCAAGGCCTGTGTGACCCTGGGAAAGTCACTTTGATGCCCTGTGCCTCATCTCTGGGGTGACCACTCCAGAGGGTGTTGGGAGGCCTGGTGAGCATCACCTGACCTCGAGCCCTTGAGGTTCCTTGTGTACACGGCACCATCATGGGCACACGTATATCACACACATGCATGCACGTGCCCAGATGCCCACACCACCGCCCACGAGCCCACATGCTCTCTGCAGGGATTCACACCCACACCCACACACCCTCCCGGGCTCACTGGCTCTGCCCTGCCCCCAGACAAAAAGCTGGAGGTGTACCAGAGCATTGCTGACCTGACAGTGGGTGCCAAGGAGCAGGCCGTGTTCAAGTGCGAGGTCTCGGATGAGAACGTGCGGGGTGTGTGGCTGAAAAACGGAAAGGAACTGGTGCCCGACAGCCGCATAAAGGTGTCCCACATCGGGCGGTGAGTGTGGGGCAGGGGCGTTGGGGCAGGCAGACAGGTGGAGACACACAGAGAGACCAAGGGAGAAACAGACAGAGGGACAGACGCACACAGAGAGAGGCAGATGGAGAGAGACAGGTACACAGAGACAGGACAAAGACTGAGGTGGAGACACAGGGAGGGAGAAACAGAGAGACAAAGAGACTGAAAGGCAGAGAAGCCGTTCTAGAGAGAAAGATATATAGAGAGAGAAACACACAGAGGAGAGTCCGTTCGAGACAGAGAAGGAGCAGGGAGACAGGCCCACAGGGTCGAGTGCCCCAGCCCCCTCCCCCAACTCGTGACTGGGCAGGGCAGGAGACTGCCAAGGAGGCCGGCTCTGGCCAGAGTCCTCGCTCTCTCTCCCACCCGCTCGCTCGTTCTTGGAGCATCTGGGCCGGCCGTGCTGGGCTTGAGTTCACAGAGATTAATGAGACCCAGGCACTGCCCAGTCTCCAAGGGCCCGGCCAAGGGGACGCTTTGGGGCAGAAATCACTTCTACTCACCGCCTGCCTCTGAAAACACTTGAGGGTGCTGGAACATTTGAAAAGAGAGAGAGGAGAAAAGGTCCTGAACACCAAGGAGCCAGGACAAGGAGAGAGCGCCCCAGGACCCTGGCTGGGGTGTCTGGCCAGGCCATCGGTGTGTGCCCCCTGGGGTCCCCTGAGCCACCCGCTGCTCTGCAGGGTCCACAAGCTGACCATTGACGACGTCACGCCTGCCGACGAGGCTGACTACAGCTTTGTGCCCGAAGGCTTCGCCTGCAACCTGTCCGCCAAGCTCCACTTCATGGGTGAGCCTGTGCCAGGCTGGGAGGGCGAGGTGGCCAAGCCAGGAGCCCCTGCCGCTGGGCCCTGCCTTTGCCTGGGGCCACTTGTTCTTCCTTCTCTTGCAGAGGTCAAGATCGACTTTGTACCCAGGCAGGGTGAGTCTTGGGGCCCCCACGTGCCGCCTCAGCTCTGCCCATCTCCCCGAGCCCCAACCCACCCCACCCCACCCCACCCGCATCCCCCCTCCCCCACAGAGGATCCAGGAATGGGGTCCCGAACCCAGCTCCAGCTTTCCCCTCACAACCACGGGCTGATTGCAATCCGTCTGAGCCTCGGCTTCCTCATCTCTTAAATGGGGATTCCACAGCTCGGTAATAGAGATGAGACAGTGTGTCACAGTCATTGAATGGTGGCACGGATGTGACGTTTACAATTCCATCTTTTCTTCTTTGGGAAAGACGTTCTAGGATTCTTTCTTCAAGAGAAGAGTCTGGGCAGTGCTTTTCAAACTGTGTTCATGAAACATTATAAGTCCAGTTTACAAGGGTTCCATGGTGAAATCTGTTTGGGAAACACTGAGTACTTGGTCCACCACTTGTTGCTTTGGAGGGAGTATGAACATGTTCAAGGCTCCAAGACACCCTGAGGTCAAGAAACATGCTTAGCTGGGTGCGGTGGCTCAAGTCTGTAATCCTAGCACTTTGGGAGGTCGAGCGAGAGGACTGTCTGAGCCCGGGGGTTTGAGACCAGCCTGGGCTACTTGGTGAGACCACGTCTCTAAAATATATGAAAAAAAATTAGCCAGGTGTGGTGGCGCACACCTGTAGTTCCGGCTACTTGGAAGACTGAGGTGGAAGGATCGTCTGAGCCCAGCAGGTTGAGGTTGCGGTGGCCATGAGTGTGCCACTGCACCCCAGCCTGGGTGACAGAGTGAGACCAACTCAAAAAAAGAAAAAAAAAGAAGAAGAAACACGCTTAATTTTGCTGATTCCAAATTCATTTGGTCATGAGCTTATAAATTTTTTTCTAGAAGAACATTGGTGTTCCCCTGAAAACAGTTGGCTAAATGCTATGCTAGGTGACCTAAATTTACAAACCTCCCAGAGAACCCCCGGGGAGACAGGAAAGATCTAGATCTTGATTGGGTTCATTTGTACAACTTGTATACATTTGTCAAAACTCATCAGACCATGCTGAGATCTATGCATTTTATCCTAAGCTATATCTCAATAAAATTGATTTGAAAAAAACTCAACAAGGATCACGGGCTACCTAGTGGCTCCCTTCCCAGTGACCTCCTACCATGGGCCTGACCCCCTCCTTTCTCTGAACTATCCTGCCTTTCCTGCCCCAGAACCTCCCAAGATCCACCTGGACTGTCCAGGCCGCACGCCAGATACCATCGTGGTTGTGGCTGGGAATAAACTGCGCCTGGACGTCCCTATCTCTGGGGACCCTGCTCCCACTGTGATCTGGCAGAAGATCATCACACAGGTACTGAGGGTGCTGCCTCAGTTTCCCTCTCTGTAAAATGAGTGCATGGGGCCTGCTGAGTGCTAGGACCCACACCCCACCACGTGTGCCCTCCTACCACGGGCCACATTTTAGGAGAACAGGTCCAGCTGGCCAGGAGGCAGGGGAAGGTGGGCAGCATGGGGAGGGGCGAAGGAGAGACAGAGGGGCCCTTCCAGGCTGAGTCGGCCCCTCCCCTCCTTCCCTCACGCTCTGTTCCCAGGGGAATAGGGCCCCGGCCGGGCCAGCCCCCGGTGCCCCAGAGGACGCAAGTGCCAGCGACGAGTGGGTGTTTGACAAGAAGGTGAGTGAGGCCGAAGTCGGGAGCCCTGTGGTGTCCGTCCCTGGGCGAGGTCTTCACGGAGGCGCCACACCTGGCCAGGTGTGCTCCTGCGCCAGGCAGGATCTCCATGGAGCCCTGGCAGGTCCGCTGTGGAGTGGGTCATGGATGGGCCCCTCACAAGGGTTTTGGTGTTGACACCTTGACATCGCCACGGAGTCCTCGCGATGGGGCTACTCCCTGGCCCCCTTCATCCCGGGTTGACCTTGACTTTGCGTTTCCTCCCCACAAGGGAGTGGGGTTCCCTGGCTCTTCCTGAGACATGTACCTGCTCGGGGTGCTTCTCCCGGCATCGTTGGTTCTTGTGAAGGCCTGAGGTCTCGCTGGGTCCTCACAGCGGCTCAGCACAGAGAACAGGTGACTGCCTAGGCTCCATGACAAAGCTAGTGCCAGGGCCTGGCCCATGGTAGGTGCTGACATGGGTGCAGTTTTATCTCAGGCTATGCTCCCTCCCCCCCATGCGCCCTGCACTGAGCTCCGTTCTCGTCTCCGGCCATCTGGCCATGGCAGAGGCTGCAGGGGCCTCTGGGGTCTGACTTAGGTCCTGCTTCCCCTCCCCCTCCCTCCAGCTGCTGTGTGAGACCGAGGGCCGGGTCCGCGTGGAGACCACCAAGGACCGCAGCATCTTCACGGTCGAGGGGGCAGAGAAGGAAGATGAGGGCGTCTACACCGTCACGGTGAAGAACCCTATAGGCGAGGACCAGGTCAACCTCACCGTCAAGGTCATCGGTGAGGCCAAGCCCGAGAACACAGAGGGGCAACCCCAAGGAGATCGCACCCATTCACTCATTCAGTCGCTCAAAAACATCACAGGTCATGCTCTATGAGCTGGGAAACACGCCGGGTTTTTCTGCCCACAAGGAGCCCTACTCTGGGGAGGACAGAAGCAAACACATTCGAATTTCCTGTGACACGCAGTTCGGGAGCTGTGTCCACAGTGCCATGGGAGCACTGGGCACAGAGCCATCCCTCGTGCCTGGGGGTGAAGCCTTTAGGAGGATGAGAAGATGATGGGGAAGAATCGAAGCCAGGACTCGCTTGAAAAGCAGCACGGGGAGGCCATCAAGGGTGGATCAGAGGCTGCTGACATGATCAGAAGGGCGTTCTAGAAAGATCTCTGGCCCGGG